GGAAGATTATCCTGAGAGAGGCTGAGCTTCTGATGACTTACTGTTAAGGTAATATATGCGCTTTTAGTGGATACATTGCTATTGTTACTGATGGTAAGGGTGAAGTTTCATAGTGTTACAAACGAAACGGATTATTTTAACAATGGACAATTTTATTTTACTTTCACTCGCTATCATAGAGTAAGTAAAATTACGGCCAGTTTGCGCGTTGTAGACATTTTCTGTTAAGTATCTACTGCGCTGTACAAAATGAGATATTGTAATGAAACACTTTCAACGGAATTGTACCTGTGTGCGTTTTATAATTATGCATCTATTGCGTTAAGTAGTGAATCTAAATATCAGAGAAGTGTGTTCATATGAGTAATGGAACACCGAACGCTAAACGGGTAACAAATGTATAAGGTACACTAATCGATACAGAAAGGGTACCTGTTGTGGAGATGTGCTCATTTATAGTTGCCGAAATAGCATCTTAGATAGTAATTAGTTACATAAAAGCTCTCCAGTTGTATTGATAAACAATGATTGGGTCCATTCCCGTTGGGCACTAACAATATCTTAAAAGGAACTGTCACTAGCGCCACCTCCAGGTATAAACTAGCATGTCTCCCCCAGGGGAGATAAAACGATATGAGATTGGGTGATAGTACCAACACAGGACGATGGCCTGCATTGGGTCAGAGAACCACACAGTCACTTATCTTGTCAAATTCAATCACATGTACATGTATATTTGATATATATACACACGTTAATTATGCCAGGGTATGTCTCTACGGGACGAAAGAAAGTCCAATGATGTAATGAACATACAACATCCACATGTAGTATATAGTAGACACAGTACAATCACGAGTTATTCGGATCAACCTATAATATGCAAAAAAAAATTGCATAACTTAACAAAATAGTAAATATAATTAAGTTAATAGTCAATCTTTATAAATACATACACAACTGATAAGTCTCATTATATGGTTAAATATATTTTCAAGTGTCTTTGTACAATGAAACACCTCACAATTCGACACTTTCAAGAAAATAATAATACACCGGACCCAATTCCAAAATCATCGCTGGACGAAGTATTCAGCTTACGGTACACCGTGCTCCAGAGTGGCATCATTAGATACTACATGTACCAAAGCTACCAGAGGCACTCCCAAAGGTGAGGAGAAAATGAACCGTTATGATTAACTGTTCACAACAATACAAATGATAACGGTCAATTATAGACACAATGCTACATAGCGACGGGGTGACAATATATAACATTTAGACTGAAATGTGGTATCCACAAAGTTTCAGCTCGGGTGATTAGTTGTTAGTAATTGATATTTTTTACAATTTTACTAAATTAAGTTTGAATACCATGGAATCGAGATACTTTTATTCAAATACGGGATGTCTCAGTTGAACGCTCAAATGGTTTTACCATTGTAAGCACGGTCACTGTCATTATATAATTGTGAAATATTCTCAGTTGTGAACATTTTGTGCATGTAAGTGTAGTGAAGATAACTATTGCAAATAATTCTTATATTACTAAGAAATGATTTAAGAAATATAGGCGTTAAACACGTGTCATCATAATTAGTAACCTAAAAAATGTCTGAATTACACCTGTCACCGTCTTAGTAACCGAAGAAGTGTCTGAATTACACGTGTCACCGGTTTAGTAACATAAGAAGTGTATGATTACATGTGTCACCGTGCTAGTAACAGCAGAAGTGTTTGAATTACACGTGTCACCGTGTTGATAACTAAAGAAATGTCTGAATTACACGTGTCACCGTGTTGGTAACCGAAGAAGTGTCTGAACTACACGTGTCACCGTGTTGGTAACCGAAGAAGTGTCTGAACTACACGTGTCACCGTGTTGGTAGCTAAAGAAATGTCTGATTTACACGTGTCACCGTGTTGGTAACCGAAGAAATGTCTGAATTACACGTGTCACCATGTTGGTAACCGAAGAAGTGTCTGAACTACACGTGTCACCGTGTTGGTAACCGAAGAAGTGTCTGAACTACACGTGTCATCGTGTTTGTAACCTTATGTGTGCCTGCATTATACGTGTCCTCTTGTTAGTAACTTAAGATTTCCTGTCAGGACGGAACGACGGCTGTGCGTAGTACTGGGTATCACTCAAGATCACTTTCCGTTTACATTTTTACAACTATTAATTACATAATCATTAGAACAATAGATTTCGCATTATGCTTCAGCAAACTCATTCCTTGTAATTTGACCTTTACCGGTACATGTCCAGGGTTCGGGCTGCCTTTTCCGTTACGTGTCCAGGGTTCGGGCTGTGAGGTAGCGACAGAGGTTTCCCTGTTTTGAACTGTTTGTAACAAACCGTCAGATGGTTCTAAACAAATCTTACAAACACATTCATTTCTTAGTACCTCCGGTTGTCATATCATTATGTAAGTAAATCAAAAGAAACTTAAACTGTCTCTCTGTTGTTGATAATTATAGTTTTATATTTATTGAAACTTTTATAATAATAACAAATAGAAATGTAACGCCGATAAAGATGTCCTTGGATGGCATACTATTACCCAAGTTATGCCACAGAAGGCCTCATTGTGTTTATGAGAGATTTAGAGAATAATGTTTACTTTGATCAAAGTATTTCTTTATTAACTGTTTGGTGTATACACATGGAGGGGGTACAAGAATGTTATAGACGTGAATTATTTAGTCAGTTTTTAAGATATGCCACCGAGCATGAATATTTCGTAAAACAAAAGGCCCCAATCTATCTTCCTTCAATCAGTTAATGTATAAAACATCAGTAGCCGTCATACTCTAATTTGCATAGCTCCGATATACACATGTCACCTGTAATCGGTTTGTTCACCAGTGTCGTCACCTGTCTGGTTAGGTCACTCGTCACACGGACGTTACCTGTACACAGCTACACAAACTATTGTATTGTTTCCGGGAATATTATACCGTTAACAAAGTAACACGGTGACTATTTTTACCGTAACATTCTAACTTTCATTATAAAAGTAAAAACCTATAAACAACGAACATGATTAGTATATATACATGTTTAAATGGAGAGCGACACATACTTACATAAATCAAAAGTTGCTTAGGTTTCATTTTTCACATTTTTTTTAACTTCCCAAAAAGTGAAAAGACTGTTTTAAAAACATTTTCGTATAAATTGTGTTACGTGATTGTGTGATATGATTTCATAAGTATGACATGACACACAATACTTTTCCTTTCAATTTTGCCGTGATGTATATATACATTCACTAGCACCTCGTTTGCATTATTCCAATTTCACCTGTACTTTCAGTCGTTCGTGTTAAGTCAACCAGTAAAGGCTGTGCTAATTTAAAACTGCAGACTGATTTAGGATTTATAATAACTGCATCATAAAATAAATAAATACAGACATGTAGTAATAGTAGGGGAGATTTTTCATAAAAAGAAAATAGAAATTGAACTGCAACCTGTACAAAAAAAAGCAATATTGTAACGGCATTTATAAGGTACACTACCGGTAGTCTACGTATGTCCATTAACAGGTGGTATTTGTGGAACATAATTGGCCATTACTCCAGATCGATGCTGCAATTAATGTTTAATCAGACCCCGTTATCGATCTCTCTGATGGGACGATCTATTCTATTCGTCACGCTAAAACAATATCATCTACTTGCCATGACATGCCCACTTGTTTCCGCCAAACTGGCTGATTCAGAGGCTGATCCGGACAAACTATAATAACTATAACAAACAATCTTACTATTTTTCAGGAAAGGGTAAGTGTGTTTGTGTCTAGGAGTGGTAGCTTAGGACATGATATAATGGGGGAACAATGACCGAGGAGGACATGGAACCTGTACATATTCAAACACCGATCACAATTGTTGCATAGCATGCACAGAAGAAAGACACTTATCAATTATCAAAATAGTTGATGTTTGAACCACAGTCTAAATCACAGGCTTAACTTCCGTGTGTAACATCTTAACATCTTGTGTGTCCCTTTAAACTCGGTCTAAATAGCCATATAGATATTTGGGGGTGGGGCGGACTTTGATAAAAATATTGATTATTCGCGCCAAACTCAGTGTATGTGACATGCTGTTTTAGAGATATACCTTGTCACCATTGTTGAGCAAAATAAGAATTGTTATAAGTCAGCATTTCGTACCGATGCTTGACCCTTTCTCCTCCTTTCCTTGGATCTATTAGCTGTGATATGGAGAAGTAGGGCCGAGCCGTTATTGGTATCCAAGGTTACGACGGAGTCATCTTCTTCATCAACGACCCGTGACCTTCGGAACGCCTTGGCGACATTATTATGTCAGGGGGTGTTATAGGTTACTGAATAATCGGAGTTAAAACACGTGGTCTCACAATGATCTTAAGCAAAACCAAACATTTTACCTTATTGTTTTTTTTGGAAATAACTGTTAAATATGTTAACTATTGACTATAAGAGTACCCGTTGACACATACACACATATTTTAGTACGATGCACGCGTGTCACCTGTACACATATACACGTACTGTCCACATACACGTATGGACGGAGGTAGCATATACCTTAATGAATCGTGGTCACATTTTTAGCATATCATTTAAACGTAAGGTGCGATTCGTAATTTTTCTACTCTAATTTGCATACCAATCAAGCTTTTAGACTGATACCTGTGGCGTACGGAGGCCAGGTCGTATTGTGTCAGACTGATGTACGTATTGTGTTAAAAGAATGTCAATGATATCAGCGGTCAGCACGTGTTGAATAAACGACAAATTTGTTGATTGTCTCTCCCGATTTTCAATCATTGTGTGTGATCGATACCAATATCACACGTACGTTAACACCGTATATCCCACATACACACATATCTCTAAAATATCCCGAAAGAAACACTGTTGTAGGATTCCATTTGATCTGGATACAAAATATGATTGTACGTATAATAATTCCTAATAATGATCTTTTTTTGTGCGGACTCACCTGTTCGGTCTCCGTTTCGTAGTCTCTCTGGCTGCGCTTGGTCTACCGTCCATTGTGCCGTAAAGCCTGATAAACTAGTATTTCAAGTTCTCTTGTAAATCAGGTGTTCACAAAACCTGTTTATAGTCCAAGCGTTAGACTAATATAGATATCACCATGGTAAAATCCATCCTTCAGCACCATGCGTTTTGTGACTGTCAGAGAAAAACAGCGACAACCCGACCGTCAACCCACAGTAGCATGCAGGTAAATACCAGTGGCACACAGCGCCTCGAGTACGAAACGTCCCACAGGTAAACAGTCTTTTGTAAGGGCGTAATGGGCTTGAACTTGCTAGGACGACTGGGCTCAGTGCACGGTATATGGGGGCTACGGTGAACTGGACCTTTGGCGTGCTTTCTGGTCACTTCATATACCCGGTCTGCCAGACTGGACACAATCGACGTGGGGACTCTCTCTCTACCTCACCCACTAAAACTACAGCCATTTTAATATTCATTCTTGCTTGGATTATAATGCGTAGCTGTTGTCAACAGGGCTATGAAGGGCGGTGTATGTGCCAACCTGTATGTATAGATCTTAGTGCAGTGGAGCCTCCCATGAATCGTTTCTGCCTGAGTGAACATGTTTTAGAAAGAAAGAGGCGCGGACAGGGGTACAAACGGGGAATTTGATCTATGAATTGAAGTATGTTAATGATTTTTTTATTTTTCACGCCAACAGATATGTAAATGACGAATTAAATAGCCTTAAGTTTGTTGATAATTTAAATGAACTACAGTATCAACGAACGGAACATTGAAACACAGGTTTAGAAAAATGCATTTAAGATCGTTAGGCCACAGGACATTAATATTCAACGTTACGATCAAAATATAAAACGTATATAAGATTTAACGTAAACATTGGCCTGACACATGTCATAAGTGTGAAAACAATGAGATCAGCTAGAGAGCGACCGCGTACATTTATATAGATTGATGAACAAAACCTGCCGTAAACATGAGTGTTTGTTCTGTAACAGGAACATTTAACAATAAAAGGAACACCTCAGACAAATCTAATTGCTAGTGAGCGACAGGCCTTGTAAAACGAAGGAGCAGATTGTATGTTGTGGGAAACACTAAGTTTGGAGCTTACTTGATGAACCCATTATTAATAAATACGCAATTATTGTACAGTTAACACGACTGTGATATAGGAGGGACAACATAATTTCATATATTTTGAACAAGGAACGCATCCAACATAGAAAGAGTAGATACAGTTGTCCGCATGTCATTATGAGGAGGACCAAATATCATCTTCTAGTCAGTCACGGGGTGCATATCAAAATGCATATGACCAACGATACGTCTTATGCAAATAATAAATTCAGTACGCAAAACACAACATTTCTACTCGAACGACATTTGAATACCTGTCTGTAGCTGGATGGAGGGGCTATTGCCCAAGTGATATAATGCCAATAAATGTAGCTCCAGTAATAAGACTATTGAATGTAGTTCAAGAAATACGGCCAAAAACGTAGTTCCAGATATACGGTCAATGAATAAAGCACCAGATATACGGCCAATGAATGTAGCTCCAGATAAGTAGTCAATTAATGTAACTCTAGATATGCGACCAATGAATTAAGCTTCAGATATTCGGCCAATTAATTAAGCTTCATATATAAGGCCTATGAATGTAGCTCCAGAGAAATACGGCCAATGAATGTAACTCCAGATATGCGACCAATGAATAAAGCTTCAGAAATACGGCCAATGAATGTAGCTCCAAAAATACGGCCAATGAATGAAGTTGCAAAAATAAGGCCATTGAATGTAGTTGCAGAAATACGGCGAAAGCTGAAGAAATACGTCAAATCAATGCAGATCCAGAAATACGGCCAATGGATTAAGTTGCAGAAAAATGGCCAATGTAGTCGCTCAAAAATACGGCTATTGAATGCAGTAGCAGAAATAAGGCCATTGCATGTAGTTGCAGAAATACGGTCAATGAATGTAGCTAAAGAAAAAACGGCCAATGAACGTTGCTGAAGATATACGGCCAATGAAGATTGCTGAAGATATACGGCCAATGAATGTTGCTGCAGAAATACGGCCAATGAATGTAGCTCCAGAAATACGGCCAATGAATGTAGCTCCAGAAATACGGCCAATGAATGTTGCTGAAGAAATACGTCCAATGAATGTAGCTCCAGATATATTGCTAATGAATGTAGCCCCTGAAACATGGTCAATAAATGTAGCTCAAGAAAAACTTCAAATGAATGTGGCTCCAGGAATACGGCCAATGAATGTTGCTCCAGGAATACGGCCAATGAATGTAGCTCAAGAAATACAGGCAATGAATGTTGCTCCAGGAATACGGCCAATAAATGGAGCTCAAGAAATACAGGCAATGAATGTGGCTCCAGGAATACGGCCAATAAATGGAGCTCAAGAAATACAGGCAATGAATGTGGCTCCAGGAATACGGCCAATAAATGGAGCTCAAGAAATACAGGCAATGAATGTGGCTCCAGGAATACGGCCAATAAATGGAGCTCAAGAAATACAGGCAATGAATGTGGCTCCAGGAATACGGCCAATAAATGGAGCTCAAGAAATACAGGCAATGAATGTGGCTCCAGGAATACGGCCAATAAATGGAGCTCAAGAAATACAGGCAATGAATGTGGCTCCAGGAATACGGCCAATAAATGGAGCTCAAGAAATACAGGCAATGAATGTGGCTCCAGGAATACGGCCAATAAATGGAGCTCAAGAAATACAGGCAATGAATGTGGCTCCAGGAATACGGCCAATAAATGGAGCTCAAGAGATACAGGCAAAGAATGTTGCTTCAGGAATACGGTCAATGACTGTAGCTGAAGAAATACAGGAAATGAATGTAGCTTCAGGAATACGGCCAATGAATGTAGCTCCAGGAATACGGCCAATGAATGTAGCTCCAGGAATACGGCCAATGATTGTAGCTCCAGGAATACGGTCAATGATTGTAGCTCCAGGAATACAACAAATAAATGTTGCTCAAGAAAAACAGCCAATAAATGTAGCTCCAGGAATACGGTCAATGAATGTAGCTCCAGGAATACGGCAAATGCATAAAGCTCCAGAAATACAGCAAATGAATGTAGCTCAAAGATACGACCAATTAATGTAGCCCAAGACATACGGCCATACATGGTGCACACAACTGTGCGATTTAACAATCGTTCGCCCAGTTGTGCGCTTCTCTTCGCACAAATGTGCGATTTGGTACAATCGGTCGATCAATATTATGGGATGAAAAAGTCCGGAAAGCTCATATGGAATAATGTTAACTGTATACATCAGTTTCTCATCATACTAACTAAGATATAATAGATTTTTCAATGCGTGTTACACAGTATAACAGTGACCACTAGACTGTCAAGAATGGGTTTGGCTCCCAGGTAAAAGGACAGGGAAATAACATTTTGATTATTGACTAGAGTTTTACCTGGCATGTGCCTGACATAAACAGTTGATATGTGATACCGTATGACCGTTATGAAAACACAACTGGACGTTAAGTATTTATTTGTTGCATTCATTTTGGTCCATAGCCCCCCTTCACCTGGAGTTTTACACCTTGACGAGTTGCGTAAGTGACCCGGGTGAGGAAAACCACGGATCCAGGTACATGTAATGTACCAAGTGGCTATGCCTACCTGTATAATTTGACATGTGTGTCGTTTAAAAAAAACCTAAAACACCATTTCTAATCTGTTGAAGCAGCAGATAAAGGAAGCCATCTTGATACGCCGCAGTGGGCATCTAAATCGAGATGAGTGGGCTCATAGACTATCGCACATCTGTGACCAAGTATTAGACAAAGCATAGCTGAATCGAGTCATTTCGGCACATATATAACAACTATTGTACATTCACTTACAGCGTAGCCGAATCGACATCGAGTTGTGGACAACTCGTACACATTTTACACCTTTGTGAACATACGCTTCACTGGTCATTTGTCTGATGAAGATGACAGAGTACATACCGTACTAGTCTTAGAAACGTCACATAGAAACACTTATTGGTTGCGTAACAAGAAACTTATCACAACCCATTTCTAAATTTAAGAAAGTATAGATAACGTCACGCTACCACAATTGGTACAATTTTGACAGTTTTGCATTGATATTTAAAAATTCAGATCTTGTATCTGGAATGTTTCTTGATTCTTGACAAAGACTACCTATGGTGGTTCATTTTCAGAAAATGTTTAAATTGTAAGTATTTTGTTTTTGAAAATAGAACGCTAAACTCGCAGTGAAATTTCGCCCGTTTTTCGGTTGTGATTTGGACCCAAATTGGTACACCACATCACAGGCTATGAAACTTATTTTCACTTCTACTAGTTAATGTGCCGATTGCAACAAAATATATTGCTTTTTATAAATACCATACTTAACTACAATTGAATATATAAGCTTTTATATTATCCGGTTATAAGTACCAGAAATTTCGTCGACGTACATTTGTACGTCTTTTTTACTGGTTTTCTGACATGTTTACTTTAAAGTCATCGTGTTCTCTTAAAATATTCATGAAAACAAAACTGTTCGGTGAAAATGCTGATAAGTATCACTTTTGTTATACTATTAAAGGAAAATTCTCAAATTTAATTTTTAAGTACAATTCGAACCATTTTCTGATCGTGTTCCAATTTGGGTAGTGTACCAATTGTGGTAGCGTGACGTTAGACAGATCAGCTTATATATGTAGCTAGAATATAGAAACATACCTAAAAATCAAGTTTATATTATGTTTAAACACGAAACCGTATTTATTGTTAAACCATTTTTCAATCGACACCAATCACGGTTGTCCTCGCAAAACGTTATTCCATCGTCCGCACAATGTGCGGAAGCACTACTCGTCCAGATCGTTATAGTTCGCATATCGTGTAACGTTGTGCGATCCCAGAACTGTATCTCGGAATTCGAAAATGCAAAAATAATTAGATCAGGCCGCTTAGTATATCTATTCTACCAAGTAAAATTTGATGAAAGCGTGATATCGTGTCTACCTCTTTGTTGTGACTTCACCATGCAAAGAGACTCCTCAATGACCTTCGCAGCTGATAGGACGTTTCACAAAATAACGCCCAATCAGATAATCAAACTTTTTAACTAGGCTGTTTTAAGTTTTGCAGGCGCAAATATTTGTCACATAATGCATGTATTTTCATTTCATAACAACCTGCGCGTTTTTATCCTTTCTGACGCTGTCGGCTGTTGTCGTGTTGGTAATAAAGATATTTGGAAGGGTTATATATGCCTTAATATTTGTTGATTTATTGTGGTTATACGAGAAACTATAAGAACCAAAGAAGATACATCGCGCCCGCTGCCTGTTTCCGGTGGGTCGTATGACTCAAAGTTTAACAAAAGCTGAAACGGTTTAGCGTGACCCTTCAACGGAGCAAGTTGAGGGAATTTTGCGTATGGCTGATGAAAGTCAGCAACTCAATACTCCAATTAGTGGTATGGAATTCCCAAAAGCTCTATTTTAGTCGCCATTTGATTTTTTCAATTCGACAGGCGGTTTAACAATAAATACTGGCGTGGTGCTTTACACAATTAATTTTATTTAATTAATCAAAAACATCAATTTATCGACAATGCTCGTTAACACATGAAACCATTCAAGTCGGCTTTATGGTAAGTTCGGCAGGTTTAAGTAGATCTAAAGGCTAAATAAATAAACGTTATCAAATTTTACAATATATCAAAATAGATGTAGGAGAGCGTTGCACTTGCATGTTTTGTTGAGAATAATACATGCATGCGCATGGTCTATCATCCATTCTAACACGATTTGTTTGCAACTCGTGTTTTGATTGGATACGGATCATGTTCTAATCTGCAATAGAATCATGATCAATCGTATTAAGCTCCACCCATCGCACTTAAGCCACGCCCCGTTTCGAATCAAAACTATATGGCATTAAGCTCGCCTCTTAGTGCTGATAAGGCTAGCAGGCAACAGAACAGAAAGGACCGATGGAATGTATGTGTTGAATTAATTAAAAATAAAAAGTAAAAAAAAAAAAAATCCTTGTTCTTACCCTCATTAATTACTGAAACGTTCGTTCCATCTGTGTGAAGCCATCAAATGAAACAGTTCACATGTGTCGTCTGAATTTTGCACAAAATTCTTCACAGATCGAATCAAATAATCACCGATTTTGTCGATACGCACTGATTGGCAGGCATACTGACATGAAAATGTAAGAATTTGGTCAATGTTAATCCAAATGTGTCGTTTAATCGGAAGGGCCAAATGACCGACTTTTGAAATCTTCTTTCTGATTGGTCAGTCCGCTGCAGAATGACACGTCACCACCACAGTACTTAACTACGAACTTGTAGCAAGGTAAATACAATGTTTCTAAACATATTAGCGTAGTACATTTTTAAGGTGTGTTAGAATGGGGATAGTACGTTATTTTTCGTGTCTATTCTGGCTATTAGAACATGCAATTTGGTTTAAACTCTCGACCTATCGGTCTCGAGTTCAAACCAAATGTCATGTTCTAATCGCCAGTATAGCCACTCAAAACAACGTACCATCCCCTAAATAATACATGGCTATTAAAATTAGCCAATGAAAGGTGTCGTTACATCACAAACGTGGTAAATGGACAAGTCTCAGAAAAGCACTGTTCTGAAGGGAAAATGAGAGGAGAGCAGTTTCCGAAATTCTAATTATTTGTGAATAAAACATTATCACTTTTTTTCTATCTATAAAACCAAAGGATTGGACACGAATCTTATGTTACATTGACTGCAAGGTTTTGTTTTTGAACCTAAAGTTGCTCTCTACCTCAAAACGTTAGTTATTAAACTAATGACATATATCAGGTCATCTTAACGTTAAATCTAACATGTTCCTTGTGTCGATCTTTACGTAGAATTTTAATATGACATGTCGTCTTAATATTAATATGAACATATTTTCGAAAAATGCAAATCGAATCTGAATCAAATTCATATATACAGTTGTGTGACCGCACAACGCACCAAAATGGCATGCGCACACCGTGCAAACATCTTTCACACACCGTCCGCACATCGTCCACACGTGGTGCGCACAACTGTGCGATTTAACAATCGTTCGCCCCGTTGTGCGCTTCTCTCCGCACAACTGTGCGATTTGGTACAATTTGTTGAAATATTACGAAATGAAAAAAATACGGAAGGCTAGTATGCAATAATGTACACTGTATATGTTACTGTAATTTCTAATCACAATAATTAAGATTATGTACAATTTTGTAATGCGTGTAAAACAGTATACTGTGACCGTTAGACAGTCAAGAATGGATTTGGCTCCTAGCTAGGTAACAGAACAGGTAAATAACAATTTGATAAGTGACCGGAGTTTTACCTGGCCTGTGCCCTTCGTCGATCGTCCGCACAAATGTGCGCAAGCCATGATCGTCCAGATTTTTATCGTTCGCACTTCATGCACACATCGTTCACACACCGTGCGCACACCGCACATCGTGTAACGTTATGTGATCCCACAAATGTATATATACATTTTTTTCAACAATTATTTATCGTTTCTATGAAAACAACATACATATGTTAGACGAAAGAATGTTTAAGCAAATATATGAAATATGACTGAAGGTTTTAAGAAAAAATCTTTTCGCTATTATCAATACAAGATAGGGATAGTGGACCTACCCCAGAGTACTTTTGTTACAACAAATGATTCGAGTACATGACTATGATTTGTTGATATCTCGTTTATATGTAATGTCCATGGGAAATAATTGTCATCAGAAACACAGTACCACCGACAAGTCCTTATTTGACAAAATAGTCATATGGTGCATAAACAGACAAATACAAAGTATTCATGAACTCGAACGAATTCAAAAGAGAATTGCCAGATCCATTCTTGATGCAGATTTTCTTCACCACCTGAACATTTATTTAAAAAGTTAAATTGGTTGCCTCTTCCCAAAGAGTGGCATATGAGGAATGTATATTAATGTACAAGGTTATCAATGATTTTACCCCTGCATATCTCAAAACACACACTTTAGTACAGGAAAGTCACAACAGAAACACACGCATCGCAACAGCAGGAAATTACCGTATACCAAAACACAAAACATTA